TTTGAAAGAATTTGCATGCCATTACTTTGATAGACTTTATTCTCAATCTTTTCATGTTTATACAAGAAGAGCTTTTCTCTTTTGCATGCTTAAGCAATATCTTCTCACTAGTGGGAGAACTAATGAGGGCCAAACAATTATATCAACTGTTTTGGAGCAGATTGAATCTGGAAGAAATCCAATGCCATTAATTGTTGGAGAGACTATGCTTAGTCTTGATGAATTGAAGAGAAATCCAAAAGCGCTTTTTCTGGGCTCTCCAATTTTATTATCAGGTAGAAAAATAATATTTTTAATTACAGAAATCAAAAACATAATTTTGTATAGTAATATTAATTTATTTGCATTGAAATTTTGAATATGTGGCTAATTGAGGGACTAGAATTAATTAGTCCTCCCGACAATGTTGAAAAATACACTCCAAATTGCTTTGTGAGAAGAAAGAAACGCTTCTCTAAGATGGGTCGCCATGAATGGAAGAAATTATTTGCCTCTTGCAACTTTGCTATCAAGTGGGTCATCCCTTGGTGGAAAATAGAGAAGATGGTTGGTGTCAACAAGCAGCCTTTCTGTCGTCTTCCCAGCTTAACCAAAAATGACTTTTTATTATCCCTACAAGGTAAAAAGACAGTACGACCTACTTCAGACAATTCCTTCTGGGGATCTTCGTCGTCCCTATGAATTCCCTGTTTCTCAAGATGTAGAAAAATTTGATGCATGTTGGAGCACTAGACCTTTGGGAAGTGATTACCCAAAAGGTTCCTCCTTCCTTACCCAATGATGTGAAGTGGTGGCTTCTCAAGAAACCTTCAAAGGACATGAAGAAAAATCAGAGTAAGATTGATGTGAAGAGTCGTCTAGGGGACAAGGTAATTCTTGTGAATGAACTCTTGGGTGAAAAGGTAGAATTCAAAACACCTACGATGCCTAAGAAGAAGAGCTCTACAAATGATAAAGGAAAAAGAAAAGCTTACACTTCAGAGAAGAAGGCTGGGGTAGAAAAGAAAGATGGACTCCTAGCTAAGGGAGAAACCATTTACTCCAAAATTGAATGTAGGTCCTCTAAAGGATGCCTACTAGCTAAAGCAAAGGACGATGAAGAGGATGTAGATAAAAATTGGAAGAGAGCGAAAAAAGAGAAGAAAGATTGAAGCATTGCTTAACTTTCAATTTATTAGACTTAGTTTTAAACTTAAAGTTAATTTCTTTTATTAAGCTTTATTTAAATTCCACCAATAATGTAATTTCTTAGTTTATTTTATTAATGAAATTTCAGCTTTTTTAATTAAATCATCTCCTTTAAATTTTATTTATTAAAGCAATGAAAACAGAAAATTTAATTTTCCAGAAATTTTTTCGAGTACAGAAGTAGAAAATTTTCCGAAAAACACCGAAATAGGCCCATATACTCACAGAAGAAATGGCGCTGCTCTTTTATGACTGGCGCCGGTTGCGGCAGTCCGGCGTGTGACGACAGACGCTGTCGTCTGGCGCTAATGTTCATCGGCCAGCGACATCGTTTTTTCGGTGACGCTGAAGCTTCATCGAATTTATGTTGAATTTATTTTTATATCTGGGATGCGAGGTTTGCGAAAATTAAAGCGGCCGCACTCGTAAAGGGTTGCCTACGTATCCTTTCCTAAGGAATAAGGCCAAACGTAGCTCTCTTGAGTATATCCTACTCAAATAATTATGGGTTGTACTTTTTAAGTTGGTCAAGATTTGTCATGTTCAAGAACTCATTGCCATCCATATCAGTTAATTTTGCTGCACCTCTTGATAGGATTGTTTTGACAATATAGGGTCCAGACAAATTAGGTCTAAATTTACCCCTTGGATCTAAAAAAATTTTCCTTAATGCTTTTAACACCAAGTTTCCTACTTTGATGTTTCTTGTCTTGACCTTTTTATTAAAATGCCTATCCATACGAGTTTGATAGCATTGAGTATAATATAGAGCTTCTAGTCATTTTTCATCATTTAGAGTTAGCTCCTCATATCTCGCCCTAGTCCATTCAACTTCATCGAGATTACTTTCTAGTGCAATGCGTAGAGATGGTATCTTTAGCTCCACAGGTTGTACGACATCCATTCCATAAACCAAGGAGAATGGCGTATTTCCTGTTGATGTGCGAATTAACGTGCAATAAACCTAAAGTGCGAAATGGAGTTTGTCAGGCCAATCCTTGTAATTTTTTTGTCATTTTTTCGATGATAGTCTTAATATTTTTATAAGCTGCTTCACCTACTCCATTTGCTTGAGGTCTATAAGGAGAAGAATGGTGGTGTTGAATGCTAACAATTCTTCCTACTTAGCTTGAAAGTGAGTTCCATTGTCACTTATCATTTTATATGGGACTCTATATCGACAAATAATATTCCTTTCGATGAAGAGTGCTACATGTTTTGCAGTGAGTTTAGCATATGATTGTGCTTCAACCCACTTTGTGAAGTAATCAATTGCTACTAGGATGTATTCATGACCTCCTGTTCCTGGAGGAGTAATTTTACCAATAATGTCAATTCTCCATGTAGAGAATGGCCATGGTGAAATGTAGGTGTAAAGTAGAGATGGAGGAACGTGTTGTAAATTGGTGTAGATTTGGCATTTAGGGCATCTTTTTACATATTGATGACAATCCTTATTCATTGTAGTCCAATAGTATCCTTCTCGCATTATCTTTTGGACTAGCATTTTTCCATTAACATGAGTTCCACAAATGCCTTCGTGGACTATCTTCATAGCTCTTTGAGCGTCTTTTTCCCTATACATAAGAGAGCTCGACCCTTAGGTACCCTTTTATGTAACTCGTTATCTATGAGTACATATTAGGAAGCCAAGAGTCTTAATGCTCGTTTTGCTCTTTTGTCAACATGAGGAGGGTATTCTCCTTTGGTGGCATAGTTAAGTATGTCTGTATACCACGGTTCTTCTTCATCTTCTTCTTCATCTTGGATCACTTCATTATCTTCTATAGCTTGAATATAAGCCAGTTTATGCCTTTTTTTCTATAGTTAGAGGCATTTGCTCGATTTCCGTAGGAATCCTAACCATTGAGGCTAGTCTTGCCCATGCATCAGCAAATTGATTTTCCTCTCTAGGTAGATATGTGTATTCTATCTTTTTTAGCTGATTGATGAGAGTTTCCAGATAAGTTTGGTAAGGGGCTAGACTTTCTCTCCTTACTTTCCATCTCTTAGAAATCTGGTTGATGATCAATGAAGAGTCCCCGAATATTTGTAATTTCTTCACTCCCAATGCTAAAGCTGTTTCCAGGCCTACCACGCATGCTTTGTATTCAGCAGCGTTGTTGGTAACGTAGAAATCTAGCTTAATGGAGATTGGAACATGCTCTTCCTTAGGTGATACTAATAATACTCCAACGCCACATCCCTTTTGGTTTGAGGCTCCATCGAAGTATAAGGTCCAAGTATCATCTTCTGTGACCATCAAGTCTTCGTATGGAAATTCATTGTTGTGTATTGGCATTGAATCATCTATTGGAAAATCAGCTAGGAAATCTGAGACCATAGATCCTTTGATAGCCTTTTGAGGCATGAATCTTACATCGAACTGAGCTAAGTTGACTATCCATCTTGATATGCGCCCATTGAGTGTAGACTTCTCGAATAAATACTTAAGTGGAATCCATTCGGGAAACTACAAAGACTGTATGCACGAGCATGTAATGTCTTAACTTGGTCGTGGCCCACACCAATACGAGGCACAATTTCTCAAGCGATGTATATCGTACTTCATACTCGAGCATCTTTTTACTTAGATAGTAGATTCCATTTTCTTTAACTTCTACTTCTTGTGCAAGCATGGCTCCCATTGTTTCCTAGGTGACTGTTAGGTACAACCTGAAAGGTATTCCTGGAAGTGCTGGTGCTAATACGGGAGGATTTGCGAAATAGACTTAATCTTTTCAAAGGCTCTTTGACATTCATCGTCATATATTACTGGCACATTCTTTTTGAGTTTCTTGAATATTTGTGCACATATCGTTGTTAATTTGGATATGAACCTACTTATGTATTGCAACCGGCCAATAAATCCTCAAATTTGTTTCTCTATTTTTGGCGGTGGCATTGACATGATTGCCTTGATCTTGGTTGGGTCTTGTAGGCGTCATTTGAAGTACGCCTACGTTAAGCATGTGGTGAATATGCTTGGCACTCTTAGGAAGTGAGATTGCCGTATACGATTAGGGACAAATAAAGTAGGGAGCCGCCAACAAGTTTTTAAGGAATTTGTAAACTGTTCACGGATCATTTAAGGCAACCACGAATAAGGGATAACGAAGGCAATAACAATCAACCCGTGAAGGTTACACCCCATACATAATCCATGAGATAACTAACTCCATATGGTTCAAAACCACGAAAGGTAAGTCATTATTCGTAACGGACATACAAAATGCCCGTTACGAATAACCATTATTCATAACGGGCGTTTAAGTGCCTGTTACGAAAAAAGGAATTATTTTTTATAAATAAGTACTTATTTGTAACAAGCAACCAAAATCCCCGTTACGAATAAATACTTATTTGTAACTGGCAACCAAAATGCCGGTTATGAAGAGTCATTAAATTTATTTGTTTTTTATTATTGAATTTCGGCAGCATTTATTTATATATAATTAATATTTATATATATTAATTATAAATAATTAATATATATTAATTAAAACCTATTTTAATAAACCTGTTCCTGTAAATATACAATTATACCGGAAAAACATTCGTAGAAATTAATGCAACATAATTAAAAATATAAGTAAAACATTACAGATAAAAAACTTGTATAAGTTTATCCAACACATACATACAACACGAATAATATTACTTTGTTCTACCTATTCTACCTAAGCTAATAGTTATATAGTCAATAAATATTTAGTTCTAAAGTATTGCGTCCACTGTTCTCAAATTTGTTATTGGACCACATTCAACTCTTCAACATCATAAAGGGCTTTCCTTGGACAAACACTACTACAAAAAATGGAAAAAAGACCCCTAATGAGAGACCCGTTATTGTAACCAACAGGTATGTTTGATGTAAGAGATCCATTAATAGAGGTAAGAGGTCTCTTATAAGCCCTCAGGCCCACAAATTTATTGTGTGGAGTGAAATAAGAAACCCATGTAAGAGTCTAGTCTCTTATCTCCTTTTTTCACTTTGCATTATTTGCGTATGTATGGCCTTTCTTTTGGCTCAATATCTCTCCTCTCGAGCTTCACCGACATTAAAATTATAATCACCTCTTTCTTTCTCACTACACCGACATTCCCTTACAATTTTTTTCCTCTAAAATGTATTCCTCATTCATCACCTCCATTTTTTTCTCTCTCATCAATGCCTTCTTCTCCTTCTTTTTCCACCTTCATCAACAAATTCTTAAGAACAAATGCGTGCTCCTTGTATTATTTGAGAAATCACCGCCTTCAAGATCCCTTGTTGCTTAGCCTCCGATGACAACGGTTGCGAAATGCTGTAATGCAATTAGATCTAGATCTAATTAAGAATTCAGGGTAAATTCTCAAATTTTTTAAGCCTTTTTTCTCCATGTTTTCATATTTAAAGTTTTTGAATTTCTATTTGAAACACAACCCTGTTCTTAATTTCATCTTCTAACCTTATTTTCAGTTACGAAGTGCTTTAGTTACGCTTAAGTTTGAATTTCACATCTGGGCAATATCAAGATTGGCTAAATAGACACTATTAATTGGGAATTTTGAAATACCCAATTTTGACAGGGTAGCAATTGATTTGGTAAGTGTTCATTTGACGATTAATTCGTATTTTTCTAATATGATTGTTTATAATGTAATTATTTCTCAATTCAATTTAGTTTTTAAGTCTGATCTTATGCTCTATCTCTTTTGGTTATTTGTCTGATGAGCAATGGGATTAATCATGCAGAAAGCCCTAACCTGCGAAATTCTGAGAGCCCAAGAGTACCAGCTTGTCGAAATTACAGAGAATTGAATACTTAAGCCTTATTGATGTAATTGTAGTAGTAAATTTTAGTGACTTTAAATATTTTTGTGTCAAGTTTTCTTGAATGTTGATTTTTTTTGGGTATCATATAAATCTTTTTAGCCCATAGTATTTCATATGGTCTTATCTTAAAGTATTGTAAGTACTTTTATTTATCTTTATTTTTTTAGGAAAGTACTTATAATTTATTCATTTTCCACCAATTTGTTTAGAGATGAAATATTCAAAATTCAAATGCAAACCATATTAAAAGCAAAAAATAATTTCTAATTTTTTTTTACAAAAATAAAGACAAAGAGACCCGTTAATTGATATGAAGGGTCTGTTTGATACCACCAAACAGACCCCTTATCTCAAATAACTTGTCTTTTTTCCTTGTAAATTATCAATTTCCTAATTTATGTGACAGACCCGCGCTATTACTGATGATAGGTCTCTTTGACCTCACAAAAAGACCCCCTTTAAGTATCGGGTCTCTTTATCAAAGAGACCCCTGAGATAGAGACCCGTTGTGAAGTGGTCTCTCTGGTATATTTCAATGGGTCTCTTTGCCATTTTTTGTAGTAGTGAAAAATCTTTAAAAAAAACATATGAATGAGGTTACAAAGTAAAAACAATCATTAGAATAAATGTGATGGTCTAAATTATAGAAATAAAAGTCATATTAACACAATAAAACACATAACATCCATAATTAACTTATATTTTGATTTTTATATATTAAAATCAATGAAATATGACCATTTACTCACTTTTATGAGCGTATAGAGCTAAAAAGGCTTCAAAATTGCCTAAGGGACTTCTATCTTTCCCACCTTTCATGTATTGGTCCAAATTATACAAATAAAACTCATAACATCCATAATTAACTTATATTTGGTTTCTATGATTTGAAATTACAGAAATATGACCTTTTGCTCAGTTATGGAGCATTTAGAGCCAAAAGGGACTCAAAATTGCCTAAGAGACTTCTATTTTTCCCATTTATCATGTATTGGTCCAATTTATAGAAATAAAGCTCATAACATCTATAATTAACTTATATTTGGTTTCTATGAATTGAAATTAATGAAATATGACCTTTACTCACTTTTTGGAGCATTTAGAGCCAAAAAGGCTTTAAAATTGCCTAAGGTACTTCTATCATGAATGGGTATCTAAGCATGTGAAGATATAATGCATAATAAATATTAACACATTCAAGATTAATAAACAAATCAAGGATATTTTGAAGCAAAATCAAAACAGCAATTCAATTGAATTAAACTAAACGGAAATGCAAACTACAACAAATTTCCATAAAATTAAAAAAAAACAATAAAAATTGAGTAATAATTTCAATAAAACAAGAAAACATTGCAGTTAGATACTTAGATGTATGTTGTATCTTGTGTTGCTGCTTAATACTATACATTTTAACAATTATTAAGATTTTGTTCATTCCTTTGGTCACATTATAAATGGTGCCATATAATGCATTTATGCCTGCCTAGTGGCAAAGATAATACTATAAATCAATATATGGGAATAAGAGAGTGGAAGCAGATGTAGACATAGCTAGATAATTTATACAAAGTAAGAAATAGATAACTCCAGCATAAAATTCAATTTTTTTTAAGCACAACTCAATTCATTCATATAGAATCAACAATAAGATACTCTGGCATCATTACAGTTTCTTATTGAAAAGTACTGAAACGCAACAAACCTGGTGAGTTGTTGCAGAAGTGAGTAGCTCAATAGCTGCTAAAAAGAGCTAGGGGTTGATTTCACCGCGGTTGTTCACGAATAATACTTTCAATGGAAGACCTTAGTTGCATAACCTAAGGCAAAACAGTTTCAGAAAGCTCAAAACATGGAATTTTCTCATTTAGTTCTTTAGGCAAACGATACAAATTTATAATTACTCCCCCTATTTTCTCGTTAATCATGCAAATTTATTTCAGACTCATCAAATTTTCAAAAAATATAAATTTATTTCATATAAATTTTACAAGGTTTTGAATTGAAATTGAACAGTCACATTAGAACATTTAGTTTCCACAACAAATTAATTAAAATTAATTAAAACTAAAAATTAAAGACCAACAATTAAAATTAAAAATTGAACAAGAACAATTATTCACCTAGCCACCGGAAATAAACCCAAACCTACCAGAAATAATAATAATAATAATAATAATAATAATAATAATAATAATAATAATGACAATAATAATAATAATAGTCAGCAGTTATCTACAGTGTTCTTATTAGTATCAACAAACAAAGGTATGGAGCACATCTGATAAAATGCAAAAAAACAGAAGACCAAAAACAAAATAAGAATTTCCTATTAAAAGTTGTAATCAAGCCGGTTATTTGGTCACTCGTTTACACTTTGTTTGGATAGGAAGAAATGGAAGGAAAAGAAGAGAAGAGAAATGAAGGGGGACAAAATCTCTTGTTTGGGTAAAAGATTGGGGGAAGGAAGGGGAAGGAGAGGGAGGGATCCAATTTCCCTTTCTCTATAGTAACCATAATCTCTCCAAAATTGGAGTGATTTGGAGGAAAAATGGAGCTCACCTCCCCCTCCCTTTCTTTTCCCTTCCCTTCCTCCATTTTCCCTCCCCTTCTTTTCCTTCCTTCTTTGCTATCCAAACAAAGCGTTAAGGTATGAAATTTTAAAGACCTTGTGGTTACTCCAGCCGACATAGAAATATCAGGGCATCTTAGTAGAATAGCAATACATAATCAATAATGATGAATGCAGAGCAGTCAATGGTGCTTGTAGCCAAAGAGTGAGAAGAATACATTCAATGATTTAAATACAATGAAAAAAATGTATAATGGAACGTCAAGATATGAAGCAGACAGAAAATATGAAACTAACCTCCATTGAGGTAAAGAGTGAGTGGCTTATGGTCAGGATACTTCTCAGCTTCAACAAAGCAGTAAAACAAGCTCCTACCAGTCTTATCATCCAAATCAATGTAGCCAGCAAACTGTCTGAATCTAACTTTTGGTTGGCCAGGTAATCCTATCTCAAGATCCTTGGGAGGAAACCCATTCAAACACCCAATCCCTACAAAAATTATCTTGGGTAAAAAGATCATGCGTACTGGTAGAATTAAGTAACTTTTTTAAGGCAAATGGGAAAGGGGACTATATTAATAACAAACCAGCAAATTACAGGAAGTCCATTTCTGCCAAGGTAGAAATACCTTGCGGAAAGGAGTCAAAAACCTCTTGCTCATCCCCAACACCCGGAAGCATTCTAGCCATAGAGTGGGCTACAACGTTACCATTACGTCTAACATGGTTACAAGAAAAAGAAACAAAAGAGCTTCCTACCATGGTGATGTCTTCAATGATCAGGTCAAAGGGTGTTAACCACACAGTATGCTTTTTAATAGCTTTAATCACAGCCAGAGAGTCACACTCCACCTCAACCTTCAGGAAACCCAAGCGTGTAGCCAAGCAAACCCCCAATCTAACAGCCAACGCTTCAGCCCCAACCACAGTTCCATCACCAACCACCCTACGAACTGCAGCTGCAACTATCAGCCCCTTATCATCATGTATTACCACTCCTAACCCCACAGCATTCCCAGGGAACATAGCCGCATCGGAATTGACTCTGACTGAGCCATCAGCTGGTTTTCGCCACCCGCTACGACAATTCCCCCCATATTTCACCACATTAGCACTGGTAGCCTTCGTATATTACTTAAAGTCTTCCACCAGTTTAAAAAAACCCATTGTTCTAGTCACTTTGCACTTCCATGGGTTATTAAAAGCAACTGAGTTCCTGTAAGCCTAGGCCGCCAAGGCCATTGAAATAAAAATAAGAAGCTCCTTACAAGTGAGCTTACCAGACATCCAAGACAACAGTATTTATAAATTTACTTCTATGTTCAACTAAACGACCACGTTTATAACATTACTTGCACTTCACTTATGTCAGAAGGAGGGATTTCCGGGCCTCTTTTTGTCTCTCCCTCATTTTGTCTTAATCTTAATTGGTTTCTTAAGATTAATTAGTTTAATTTTGAAAATGACTGACTTTTACTTATATTTGTTGTTTTTATGTTAGTTTTGGGTAAAAGAGTTTTCAAGTTCAGTTTTGGGTCTATAATGGGTTATATGCTCAAGTATATCCAAAGTCTATCACTTCAAATTATATACCTGGTCAAATTTGTTTAATTTGTTCGAGTTTTTCTCAGTAGCTTTGTTTTGGTCAAAAAACTGATTACCAGGTTCGACCTGGGTTACGATAATTACAGCTAGATTTTAATGGTGAAATATGCTAACAGAGATTAATAGAAGAGAAAAAGAGGGAAGAGAGGAGAAGACACAAGGAATGATGACGCAGAAAACCCCAAGAATAAGGGTGAAAACTGCGGGCGGCTATGAGTCCACCAATCCACTAGGTGTTTATGTGAAACAGGTTACAATAAGGATTACAGATTATAGAACGAGTAGTAATAGTAGGTGCTTTCTATGATGATGCTTAGCAGTAAGGCTAATGTATTTTTTTGATGCCTTGTACAATGATTAGGCTTGCCTATATATACTAGAAAAGCATTCAAAAGATCTTCAACGGCTCTTTCCCTCAATCCCTAGGAATCCGGAGCTAACACCCCAAGTTGTTCCTACTTTCTCTCCACGTCTCCAGGTCTGGTACTCCCACATTTGAATTGGTCTTTCTCAACGGCTTGACTGCTAGTAGTGTTTCCGATTTCTTTGGATAGCATTTTGTACCTTTTCCCACTCGAAGATTCCTAGGAATATTCTCCGTTGCTTGGACTTAACTTGGCAGCTACCTTCGACCTGTACGTTGCTAATCTGCAACCTACAACCTGTCTACCTGTAGGTCATAGGAATTTAGGGTGAAAATTCTAGCACAACAGTTTGCCCCCAGCTTATCTCTTAGATGTTCTAGTGACTTCTATGAGGCAAGCTCAGAAAATCCGTTAGAAAAGATAAATATTTCAAAAATGCAACTTTAAAGATAAATTTGAATTTGTTGCAAAGATAAATATTCTAGAAAAGATAACTTCTGGCCGTTAAAAGCAATTAAATGCGTTATAAATAGATAAGCAAAAGACCCTTTCAACTACTTCCCCTTTTTGCGATAAACATTGTTTCAGAAGATCTAGGGTTTTCCAATCTGCGAAAATTAGGGAAACAAGATTGACGAAGACACGACGCAATTTAAATTGGGATTTTGTTGCTGTGGAGTCAAGCTTTGCTCACTCCCTTTACCCTGGT